TTTTTCTGAGTTCTTTCTTCATTTTTGCAGCGCATTCAGCTCTCAGGTCTCTGCCTTATTTCCTCATATAAGCTATAGGCTACCTGTCCAATAACTAACTACAAAGCAAAACACTTTGAAATGTAATGTATTACAAGTATAAATTATTCAAAGCATAATTTAAAGTTGCACATTAATGCAACACACCAGTAAACACATTTCATTACTCTCCATCGCTGGAGATGCATTAACAATTAAAGCAACCCTGACAATACACAAGTGATGTTTCCACAAGTGAGTCTCTCCGGTTATTAGCTGGTGAAGAGGTGGGGAGATAGTGTCAGCAGGCTCTGATCTGAGGCTTTGGGGGGTTATCAGCCACATCTTCTCAACAGAACAAAGCTGTGCCTTCCTTTGATGGCAGCCCTAAGTTAGGAAACATGATTAAAGTGCTCTACTTTCTGCTAATCCTCTGAGGGGAAACTTGATAAATCTACTGAGCACTAAAAAGGACATGGAAAGGAGCAGAGGCAAAATAGAAAAAAAAAAAGTGGGAGGATGGAAGCGGCAGCTTTTCAAAGTCTGTCTTGTCATCCAGTCTTTACATGTTAAAAAGCAAAACCAAAGCAGCACTTTCTTGCCTGCATTTGATAATCAGTGAACAAATAAGTTCAATGAAATGTGTGTGAGACTGTGAATCCAAATAATTTCCTCGCAGGCCTTCTCACTTGACTGTCGAAGGCGATGAAAAGATCTCTGTCATCCGCCGTGGAAACAGTCTTTCATGGAAACTGAAGTGTTGTTATTTGCAATTATCAGCCCCATCCTCCTTCTCAATGCTAATCATTTTCTATTTTCTTGCGCCTCAAACCATTTCAAACTGCCTCAGTCTGACATTTTACACCATACTTAAAGCCCAAACTGTTTCCCACTTCTTCTAAGTGAATTAATTGCTGCGTTGTAGCTGAGCAGATGTCTTTTTTGTCTCAGCATTTGTGTGTTATGTAACTCAGATAATCTCCCACATCTGTGTGGTATGGGCAACATGATGAACAGCAACTACACCTGCAATGCTGCCCTCAAATCACAAGGGCCCTGTACTGTAGTGCCTTAAAAATGCTCACAGACACACACACAGCGCCCTGGCTCACTGTAAAACACTACATTTATTATTCAGAGCTGGGAGTGGAACGCCGGGATGTATTGAGCCATTTGTATATGTGAGGATGTATTTCCTGCTCTTGTCACCTAGTACCATATTCCCGACTCCATAAACGTCAGGAGGTTTTCACATTCGGCTGCACTCCCAGGTGTGCATTGCCAAAATTGTCAGGATGCAACACTCAAGCAATTCATCTCCATTTAGCCCCAAACTCTCGTCAATGGACGGAGGAAACAAATGGCCCCATTTTAGGCGTAATGGATTTTTAGCACTGCCTGCTTGTAACACCTTGCAGAGGTTCGGCTGAATTATAAGATAGGATAAATCTCAAATTGAGGATTCTGTCTTCTCCGGCAGGAATCGATGACTTATTTTCTGTATTAGCGAATAGTTCAGCTTGTTTCTGGTTTGAAGTTCCCTAAGACTCTGAGTGCTGCATCCTGTTGAGTGGAAGTCGTCTGAACTGGAGTGGCTGATTCAGTCTGTCAGCCTACTCATTACCCTGTGAATTTGTCCTCCTGCTAGAGACCAGCATCTATTTTTGGTGTCTAATACACTCATCAAGAATGCTTCTGCTATGAAAAGCAACTAATAAAGAAAGCTTGACTGCACACTAACACAGGGGGACTATTTTCTGGCATCCTCTCTGTATCTTTTTATAAAAAATAATTTGCAGAATGTGGTAATGATCGTCCTTCCAAAAATGAGAGAGAAAGAAAAAAAAAAATCATTATTCAGACTTTGCCTCTGAGCTAATCATTCCATCTACTGCATATTTTACACATGTCTGTTTGTCCTAGATTCATAAGAAAAGCCTTCCGGTTGAAGCCATGTCAAAGAATTAACGATAGAAATTGTTTAAAAAAAATAAATAAAGTGCACACATCTCTGCAGGGTCAGAGGAGAAAGAAATGAAGGACGGGGGGAAAAAAATCAAAAAGAGGCTGTTTTTGAAGTTGAATGGCTCTTTGGTTTTGAGGAGAGGACCGCACAATAATCCGGTCACGTTTTCATCTCGGCTTCTGTCATGCCTCGAAGCTTCCTGGCATCCCACTGAACTCGAAACAGTTGTCTGGCCTCCAAGACTCTGCACCACCATGGCTATAATAAGTATAGAGGACCAGGGACATTCAGGCAGCAAATGCTCTCCTCTTTCCGTCCTGCTCCGTCCCTCATTCTCAGTTTCCCTTTAATGAAGCTTTCCCAGCAGAATAAAAACACACTTATGTTACATTTTTGTCCGATAGACTCATAATCATTTAAATTCACAAGTATGATGTAACGTTCTCATGTGCAGACACAACACTTGAGATGAAGGGCTTATTATAATCAGAAAGGAGGCGAGGACGACGAGGAGGAGGAAGAGCCAGCAGGCCTGCACCTCATCTGTTGTTTTTCTGTTCATCATGCTTTAATGATCAAATGCCCCCTGGTGGTAAAATTAGTCATGTGCATGTTAAAACTTCTGTCATCTCTTAGAAAAAAAAAAACAAACTCCATCTGCTTTGAATCAGTGGTGAAATAACAATGTACCCAGACACAGGCGTGTTGATATGTTTAATGACTGTATTCAGGTACTTGTGGTACTGTTGTTTGTGTTTAGATCTTACATAAAAACACAAATAAGGTTTTAAATCGAATTCATTGATAAAATAGTTTTTGGCATGTGATCCCTTACAATAGAACAGTAGTAAAACCTGCATCTATTTAAGCTGCTATAAATCATTATAACATGAAAATATGTACTTTCAAACAGATTTACTTCTATATTATGATACCAGAAAGCACAAATTGTGAAAAAAAAGTAATCTTTATGGTGATTTAGATTATTATTATGAGAAACTAGAGGTTACAGTTTATCAACCTTTTGACTGGTTGGATCTTCTTCTCAAGTTTCAGAGACAATCACCTCATTCCCGTCCAGGCAGCATGACTGGTGGTTTTTTTTCCCCACCTTGTGAGTCTATGTGCGTCGTGGCAACACATGGTCACGGAGACACCTGCTGTAGCACAAACAAACACAAAAGGTGGTTTTGAGAGCTTTGGCAGGTGTTCTGTCTTTCCACGGACAGATTTTGTACAAAATGCAGTCACGAAACTCTGCGGGTTTGCAGCTGAGATAAAAAAAAAAAAGGGCGAGTTTGAAGATGTGAGTGGTACTTAGCACTCAAAAAACTCGTGATAATAGCTGCTGGGGCTCGTGGCTCGAAACGTGACCAAAATTCACAGCCAAGACGAGGGGTTTTGTGGGTGTTTCATTTCATTTTGAGCTCTTTTCATGCTTTGGATATCCCCTGCCTCACCCATAGAATGGAATTAGTCAATAACACCATACAAACACACATCTTCAGTATCTGAACTCCAAAGGCATCAAATGTCAGCTCACAACAATGCTTATTCGACTTTGTAGCACACTCCCACATTCTGAAACAACTGGAGTTTGCTCACACCTCCACTTAGAGGTTTGGTTTGCGTTCCCTGACAGAGCTTGTATTGTACCAACTGGACACTCGTGCAATAATGTAGTAGTGATTACCAAGTACCCATGGGTGGCAATGTGAACATGTTACATGTTGTAGATTTCCCAGGTGAGGGATCAATAAAGCTTGTCTTATTTGTTTTTATCTTATCTTAAAGACTTAGTCTTCTCATCTCAACCGCTCAAAATTAGCTTGTGACCTGTTAACAGGGCTCAGCTTCGTCTTCCAATATATAAAGTTATTAAAATTAACATTACAAAATTAAATGCCACATACTTTAATTGGCATTTAGCATTTTTCTTGCACAACAGATTATGTACTTTTACTTGTGGAGGATTTTACAATAAGAACTCTTACTGACATTTTTTCCCACCACAGTCTAATTGTCAGTTTATGCGCATATGATCACATCCCAAATGTCCGCCCTTAAAGCCAACTTTGTTATTCACATATTGGAAAATAGCCGATGCTGGCGGTCTAGTTTGGGGAAAAGAAGCTATTATTATTGTAAAGCCTGTTGTCTTCCTAGCTGCCACAAAGCACCAGTCCTCTGGGAGAAGCTATTTTGGGGAATGGTCGCAATCTGTACACCTCAGTCAATACTTTTCCACACAGCCCAGAGAGGGGCAGTGCTTCTTGTGACCCGGCGAGCATATAGGAGGGTTCGCATCAACCACGTCAGCTGATATACTCTGTCACTCCCTGGAGAGGCTTTCTCATGCCAGAACAAAGAGAACCAGCCTTCATGTAACCAAGCCTGTAAAATCAGAGGCATAAAAGACCCTGAAATCCATCAATCACAAGGGGCAGTGACACACCCATCAACACAGAACAAACAGGGCCGAGCAGTGAAACCGAAGCTCCCTCTGAAGTAGGCCATCAACTATTCATTCTGTTGTGATGCGCCAACACCTATCAGGTGTGATGCAGTCTGTACTGATTTTGCTTGTCTTTACAGGAATCACTGCTTCATGAGGAGGAAGGAGTTCAGTGACTCCTCGGAGCCATTAGGCTGATTGCTCAGAGGGAGGACAGGCTCTATGCATATTTCATGAAGGTATTCCAGTTTTGGGATGATTCCTCAGCTGTTTGAGTGAGGCTAGTGACAAGCAGCCAAGACTTACACCCTTCATCACAAGGGATCGCTGTATTTGTTATGAAAAATCATCAGTGCAGTGACTAAAATGTCCCCCAGTCATGGCTTTATTGACTTGTATAAATGACACAGTATGGAGAGGATTTTGTGAGTTATTTATCCAAACAGCCTGTTTAATCCGTGAATAAAGGTCTTCACTCAAAAGCAAAGAGTGATGACGAACCTCCGAGCTGCAATATCGACTTTTTTTAACTGCACATAAAGGAATCAGCCAGACAATAAGTGGAAAAAGCCAAAGACGATCAGTAATTTATTGGAGTGTATAAAACAAGAAAACACAGTTTATCTGTTTTGAAACTCACTCGAATTCCATCCACCTGATTCCATGCATTTACTCATCTGTCACACTTTTAAAGGTGCTTTATGCTCCGTCCTTAAATACATCATGTGAAATTGGCAGTAATCGGTGCTACTTACTAACTGGACTTCATTTTATATACAATCAAACTGCTAATCAAACAGCAGCTTCTTTGTCTTCTTACACCACACACACACATATACAGTATATAAGGCTGCATATAAATATATATTATTGTAACTGAGTTAGTTCCCATTCAGAGTTATGGAACAGAAATTTTGTATGCATGCATTGTCTTTCATTGATTTTATGTGACTACGAAGAATAAATCAATCCATTTGTGCATTACACGGGAAATCAGAGCTGATCAAAAGCTGGAATTTGACCATTTGATGCTTGTTTTTGCAATTCAATCCAACAAACCTGTAAACATATGGGGGAAAAAATACCCTCGAGCTGAACCACAAATTTTCTGTGCTGAAACTAACAATTATTCTTATTTTTTTTTGTTTGTTTTTTTTGTTTGTTTGTTTTGCAGGTCTGCTGTATTGCTTTTCATTGACTAAGTCCATTTGTCGCTGTTGTTGTGTCTCTCACCTGTGCATTGAATGCTCACATTGACTGTGCTGATGTTGCTGCTGTAGCACCGGTTATACTGTGTTTTAAAGCAAGTGCACCTGCTCACAGCATTTCAAATACTTCTTTATGAAAGCTCTGATTTTGAAGCAGTGATATGGCACCTCAATCTTGATGCTGTGGATACATGGTCAACATGTTTTGCCTGGGGGTGTTGGTGGATTATCCATCACTTGTTTTGTCTTTGAAATGCTTAAAACAGACCAACGGCAGATGTGATACATGTCAAACTCAAAGAAAATACTACAACATTTTGGGAGACGAGAAGACCGATACTGCTCTCATAGCTGTCCTCTTGGGACGAGGATGGAGAGAATTAGAAATATACGAGAAAAAAGCCCAGAAAACCACAACAACTTGCAGTAACAAACGCAATACACTCGTGGTAATTTGTTAGATTTAGATATATCATGTGTCTGGACTTTATGCAATGCTAAGCTAACGCGCTGCTACAAATTTAACATACAGCCATGAGGGTGGTGTCGATCTTCTCATCTAACTGAGCAAGAAAAGAAAATAAGATGATTTCCCAAAATGTCAAGCTGTCTCTTTCACACATGAACATATATCGGAAATGTGCACAAATGGCAAAACAAACATAGGTCAAAGGTCAAAGAAGGCAACAGTGAGATGAAGCCTGTCAAGTCTCCACTGAGTAACACTGGGTACTAATTGTTGTTACATCGGCTGTAGTAGCTGAGTATGGTGTTGTCTATCCACTTGCGGAACTTGGACACAGCAGTGTAGACTCCAGGAAACTGAGCTTCAGCGCAGCCTTTCCCCCAGGACACCACACCGTAGACCCGGCCATCACATACAAGTGGACCACCCGAGTCCCCCTGAAACCGTGGGATGGGGGGAAAAATTAGGGAGTACATGGTGCCTGTCGAGCGTCCCACTAATGTGTCTTTTTACAGTTTAGGTAAATGGATCTGGTGACGCTCTATGATGTCTATAAAGTTGTAAACCAATCTGATGAAAAGACAACACTTTGTTGACCCATCTAAAAAGAATTGTCAAGTCTGACAACTCTTATATCTCTTATAAATGCTGCCTATTTTAATTCTCTGAACTCTGAGCAGTTTCTTTTTGTTTGTTACATTTTTACTCACTGTGGGCTTTTTAAAATTTTTTATTTTTTTTTACTGCAATTTAACGTTCTACACCTCTATGGAAGCAACACAACCATGACAGGAAGCAGAGAGAACTTAAAAATGTTTTTCATGCAGTATGACACAGTTATGCCATCAATAGTTCACAAAGGTTAACTAAAGTGGAAATAGAGTTGAATTTTGTTGATTGTTTATTTTACAAATAGAAAAAAATGAATTCAACATGTACAACATTTTTGTAAGTGCCCAAAGGTGTTGCTATACTGGAAAGTATAATAGACATTTAACTATTCAGATTTTTAATATTTTTCACCAATCTGCTTTCTGTAAACACAGTCTGCAATTCAGATCAGGTCAGCTGAGAAGTCCCCTAATTTATGTCACATTACTTTTGTTTGCAGTTGAGTTACTTAGATTTCACAGTTGCACCGAGGATTAGAGAATTTTTTGTTTTTTACAGAACCTTGTCAGAAATTTTTTTAAAATGGCACATGTAGAATAAAGTGACTTTGATGAATCTCAAAAGTTTTAAGCTTAGATTTGGTTCATTTTCCTCATGGAGTCATGCGAAACAAGAAACTTTACTTTTTTTGTTTGTTTCTTGCTCCAATAAAAAGTGTGATTTGGGCCTCTCCACAGCAGTTTTTGGATTTCAGAGGGTCAATTACATTACACAAAATTAGACATAGAAAATTATCTGTCACATCAATAGACTGGGTAAAAGAAAAAAACAAACAAAAAAGAGATCCTCTTACCTTACAGGCATCCTTCCCACCAATGCTGTAACCAGCACAGATCATGTTTTCTGTGATGCTGCCGTTGAACGACTCGCTGCTGTTACATTTTTCCGTGGAGATGATGGGCAGCTTGACAGTTCGGAGGGTGGAGGGGATCTGGCCTCCGCTGGGGCTGGTGTATCCCCAGCCTGACACCCGACACACTCTGCCCTCGGCTATGGTGGTGCCCTGCCTGGGTAGCAGGGCGATGGAGACAAAGCTGCCCAGATTGATCGGGGCCCTCAGCTGGAGACATGAAGGACAGTGTGATGAGTAAACTGGCCATCTGGGGATGACTAACACAGACTCAGACTCAGATAAAGTAACACCCACTAATAAAGACAGAGGAAGGCCGGCGGTTTGTATTTCATACCTTAATAAGCATAATGTCGCTGTTGTTTGTGGTTCTGTTGTATGCAGGGTGGGGCACCAAAAGCTGAGGCAGGATTTGCTGCTCGGTTCCCTCATAAATGGTCAGAGAGTAGTCTCCTGCCACTATCAGCATTTTATGTAGCCTGCAGATAACAAAAAATACATGTCAATAAGAAAATTAAAGAAATTATTCAACACAGGAGTGGGAGAGATGAAATTCACTTTCTTCTTCTTCCAAAAGCTAGATGAGAATACACACATCATTGGAAGCTGCAGCCAGCAGCTGATTAGCTTTGCTCTAAGCAACAAACCTACTAAAATTTTCAAAGATGAGAGTAAGAGTATAACCTCCATGACCAGACTGATTACACACTTTTTGTCACATTCATGATGACACCTGACTCTGCTTTCTAAATCTCAATCATTGTGGGATTGAGTGCATATGGATGAGCCTCATTTTCACTCCCACAGTCTGCAATAAATAGATGTAGAAAGACACTTAAACAACCATTTGCATATCGATACTTGTGCCCACCACCACTCAGGGAAGCTGCCAACTAACTAAAATGGCAAAAGAACAAGTGCAGTTTTACAGATTGTATTGCACCAGTGAAGCACTCCAACCGTATCGAAACAGACTGCACGGGGTAATTCAGGATAAAATGAAACTATCATTAATGCAGGGAAATGATGAGTTGAATATGAAGAAAAGGAAATTCCTCACTCATAAATAATTCAAAATGAAGTTTATAAATGGGCACAAACAGACGAAGCTTATGTATGCACATTTCCACTGCAGATTATTTTATAAATAGCACTTTGTGTGAGGGAAATTTTTGTGCATACTCATCACTTATACACTCATCCCCAGACAAGATGTAGACACAAAAGTGGCAAATGCAACTGCAAGTTTCGATTCAGCGAGACACACAGAGAAGACTGAGCTCAGTTTATGTTTTCCTCTGTGTGCACTGTGAACTATTTTGTTGTGCTTTATTAATACAGTTGAGCAGTAAACTGAACTTTTTTATTGCAAAACATTTAATTAAATCTTTTTTTTTGTAAATAACTTGTTAATTAACTTATTAATAAAGTCTAAGGATACTTCATTTTTACTATTGACTTCTTTCATGGAGTATATGTTGACATGTCACAGGATGAAAAGCACATTAAAATGAATAATAGCAGAATTCAAGTCAAGTCAACTTTAATGTTAGTTTTGCCACATGTACAACACACAGAGAACTGAAATTGCAATACTCCGAGGCCCCAACGTGAAAAATAAACGTAGAAAAAGTATAAAAATAGAAAAAAAGGATATAGCTATAAACAGGATATAGACAATAAACACAGAATGTAATAATTTAATTCATCTGTTTCCGTTTCATCGTCCTGGTGCTTTGCACGCCGGAAGCTCTTGAACAGAACAGAGCCTCTAGCAAACTATTTTCATAGCAGACAATGAAATAATGCCAGGAAAGGTACAAGTGTAAGTAATATCATTAGTAACTGTGGTGTTCCATCGGGGTGTTCCGGTAAAGTCTTGCCAGTAAACCAGCAGGCATGATCCAGGTTCCTGGAACACTTAACTGGAGTGTGACTGTTATCGCAGTTATTAATTACACACTTGGTGTTTTATATAAAAGCAAGCTGTAGCTTGCCACACAGTCACCTTAAAAAGTGATGTAACAACTTTTGCCAAATAGCACATTCAGTAGTTACATGAATGTTCTTGTAGAGCAGTGTTCCTGACCACATGGCAAATATTAGTTCAAGTCACTTCCCTTTTAGCTCTGTGAGGATGAATAAACCAAAATAATGAGCTGCAAGATGTCGAAACACTCAGAGGGGATACATCTCTTTGGGTTTGTTAGTTTAAGAGGCATCTGTCACATTTAATTTGTCGTTAATATTAAAACATCATTAAGTGCAGTTGAAAAATTACAAGCCAAGTTATACAGTAACACAAAAGAAAAGCTTTGCCACGAGGTAACGGTTGTATTTCTTTCCCACAAAGAAGAAAGGCTTCTTTTTAAGTGGGACGACAGCATTGTATCGACATTGCTTGGGTTTGTTGGATTTATGGGTCATAAATATTGAAAGGAATTCCAAATAGACATATCTATACACCTAATAGCTGACGATAGAAATATACAGTGAGGTTTCGAGCAAAAGGCTGTGATAAATTTTCAACTGGATACTCGGAAGTGCATGTCTTTTTTTTAATCATTTCTGCAGCAATACGTATTTTCCAGCAAGTCAATAAAAAAATGTGAAGGGCCGAACCAGGCCACCTGTGTATTCTTGTTTATTTTATATACTCTATTGATCTTGCAAGGGGAAATTCTCTTTTCTGTGCTCACAGTGCAGGATCAGCCACACTAAGGGCCTCTGGAGCAGGCAGCAGACAGGGTTCAGGGTTCAGAGGCCCAGCAGCAGTGGTGGTGCTGGGACCCACCAGCTTGATCCTTGACCTTCCAATCAGTAGCCCAAAGCCTAAAGCACAGAGCCATCACTACTTATTGTGCAATCATCTTCTAGCCACGATTCCTTCTGTGTCAAAACTATTTTCTAACAAAGGTATATTCTGACACTTGTAAAATGTAAAATTTGAGATTCTATTGACTCAGTGAATCAAAACCATGAGAATTCCTGCATGATCACTATCCTGGGCTGGCCCTGTAGAAAATGTGTGTAAAACCGCACTAGTTCAAATTGTCTTTACTAACTGGCGCTTCCACTCCTGTCTGTGGGAGGTGTGTGTTTGACTGTTGTGTGTAAAAGGGAAGGGGATCACGCCGAGGTGATGTTGGGCTGACGGGGGACGCTCTGACTGCCCTTGTGGTGAGCCAGAGCGGAGGTGTTGCTTGCGACAAGCGGGTGTTGGTGGTGCCCTGAAAACCGAATGTGGTAACCAATATTCATATTATACGAGAAGTATGAAAGAAGTTTGGGGGAAAAAATGCAAATCAATTAAAATAGTATTACATCTTTAGATTTAGCTAATTATTGGACCCATACAAAGCAGATAAGACTTAAAAGTCTGATGATAATCATTGTTTTTTCCAGCTTCTTGCTCAGATAAAAGATGTCATTTAACCATTTTTTTTTTTAAGTCAACATGCCTTTCCACAGCAGTTTTTGTATTTGAGAAGGTTAAATTACATTTTATGCACTAGAACTGCAATAATGTGATCTTAAACAGGCAACACCTATAAAACTGTTCATCACATCCATTAACTTAAATTACATTTCAGCAGTTCAGGATTCAATGCAAGAGGTTGTAAGTGTTCGATACCAAGAATGAAGGAAAAAAAAAAAATGCAAATACAAACTACAACTATAAAAGAAACATTTCTGTTTTTAAAAGAACAAGAACTTAACCTTATATAAATATATGTGTGTGTGTGGGTATAAATGTATATATATATATATATACATGCATATATTTGTAGCTGTTGCTGGGAATTTCTTTCTTTTCTTCTTTTTATCCTACATTTACAACTGATTTGATCTGTACGCACTTTCATGACTCTTGTTCGTTTATTTCATATTTTGTTTTTATATTTTTGTTCATATTTTAGACACTCTGTACTGTTTATTTATTTAATTTTTTCTGGCATCTGTGTAATCATACTTATGAACATTGCATTATTTAATATAAGGGGTTGTTGTGTTCAATCAATGAAGAGAATATTTTTTATTTTCAAAACAGATGACAAAAATGTTATTTTATACATTTCTTTTGTTTTTCTGCTTTTCTAATAACACACCAAACTAGGACTCTTTCCGTGCATCCAACAGAGCAAAAAAAAGAGAGAAATTCAATTTACAATCATATATGAGTGATGTTCAAAATGAAAATCAATAAAAACATTGCTCTTACTTCAAAATGCATTTGTTGTTGCAATTTCGTTGTATAACATAATTTCTGGAGGACAGAGCTGCTGTGTGACATTGCTTTATTTCTGTGTTTTATGATAATGACAATAAAACATGGACTGCTACTGCTGTAAAAGCGGAAAGTAATTTGACTACAGAAGCGGCTGTTTGTTGTCTGACAGTGAAGTAGGTAACACTGACATTTGGGAACCTGACAATACTGACAATCCTGCAAATGTCATTCAATAAAAGGTGTAATATATCAGTTTGCTGACTGCTGTAATACTAGAAACTAGATTAAACACCAAACATTATCTAAAATGATTGCCTCCTTGCGAGCCAAAGCCATGTAAACCATATGAAAGTTAAGCCTTTAGGTCATAATATGCTTGTGTCAGTTTCCAGGAGCACAGAGCTCCATTGTTACTGATGGGATTGTATCATTTTCAGGTGCTTTCTTTCCGTCTTGATAATACACAGAACTGACAATCTGCTATGGCCTGAAATTACTGGATCTTGTAATGAAATTCTGTCTACACACATTAAAACACAAAGAGGTCAAGTCGAGGTCGTCCTATGTCAATAGACTTTTATCTCTGAATGCGACTTCCTTACAAAAAGCCAAATCAGGACACAAGCATGTTAAGTATACTGCGACCCGGGATTGATTTTACCACCTCATCAAGTGTGTGTTTATGCCTGAGGTTATGCATCTTTTATACTCAGTGGAGGTAAATCAGAAGGAGAAAATTGGCTCACCCAATGTTACAGTGTGCTGCTGTGACTATCCAGTACTTGTTTATCAAGAAGCCCCCGCACATGTGCTGCCGGTCCCTCGTCTGTATCGAGACGATGTACTTGATTGAATGTGGAACTGGCGCGTATCCTCCCACTATACGTTCCGTTGCACTGTTCTGACCTGCAACACACACACAGAGGGAGCAGTAAAGATCAGCTCAGATTGGATTTAGAGCCGGAAACACACATGGAGGTACACAAGGTTTTTGTGCAAACCACGCAGAGCAAACACAGTTGTACTTTTATTACTGCAGCTGCAGCCTCAGCGAGAACAATACAAGTCATAAAGAAAACAACAGAGGACTTCACTGCACAGACGCCTCTGACTCAGCAAATCAATGAAAATCAATCACATCTCGGCGGTGCATTGATTCAAAGTGACTCTGACCATCGTTATCTATCTGGTGTTAACACAGAGTAACTATGAAGTAGTTATTATTAGGTAACAGTGAACAGTATTTGTGTTTACACAAAATATGTAGTCAGCCTCTAAAATATGATCAACATGAAGAAAAAAAAGCATGAAGAAATAAGGTAATAGTTCAAACTACCTCCACTTTGACCTCACACATCAGTCCCAATACTGCAGTGATATAATGCATATTATAATATAATGACTGTGTCCATATTTTTGGGTTGTCCGTGTGTCTGTCCCAGTCTTATGAGGTAAAAATCTTATGAATGCCTGGAGGGAATTTCTTTAAACTTGGCTCACCTGAATGAACTGATTATATTTTAGTGGTCAATGGTCAGTGCGAACTCACAGAGCACATTTTTGTTGTTGTTGTTTTTTGCCATATCTCAACAATTCATACTCTAATTATGGCAAAAGTTTTTAAAAAAATGTCTAACAGGATAAAACAATGAAGTGATGATACTTTATATCTAAAAGGTCAGAGGCCAAACAGATATGGATGTATACTGTACCTACACTGAATGGAAGAGGTATGCTGTCATGAGGTGGTCATTAATGTCACTGATGTTATTGATAAGTAGACCGAACTTTGGTGACATTTTCAATCTAGGACTTTTTTTTTATAATGGAGTATTTTTATGTTGTAACATTTCTACTTTTAACCCTCCAAAGGATCAAGCAGATGGAGCTAACGGTATAGTAAAGCTGCTACCTTTCCTTAAAGTTCCCATATTGAGCTGCTTTTTAGCAAATTAATCGAAGTCTCAAATGTCCCTACAGTGCATCTTTCTGTTTTTCCGCACAAAGAAGCTGCAAAGACAGTTAATTTCACCATAACTGTGTAGCCCCTGGGTTTAAGGCTGTTCTAAACGGGTGGTTTTGCTTTGAAAACCCCTGAGCTGCTGCTGCTCCCGCCCCCTTCAGGAAGAACATGCTGTCTGCGTCTGTGATTGACAGCCAGAGCTGTAAAGCCCAAACATCAAACGGTAAGTTTTCTTCATTCAGCTCGTTAGTTGTCTTAATGCAGGTTAGATAGAGGGTTTAATATCAGATTACTGTGCTTTCAGTGAACAAGCAGTGGCAGGTGTGGCGAGGGGAGGCGGTTAAGATCTACCAACAGATGAGAAAATACTACATCCAGGGGTAGGAATATTACAACAACTGAAACTCTGGTGTCAACTTGGTAGCAGACTTTTGAAGGTATTGTAAGGCAGCTTTTTGCCTCAGGACAGGCGTGAGGTGGTGCAGACCTCTATAGTAGAGGCCCCATAATCTGCCCTTTCAGCCTTTCTGTTTCCCTAGTGGTGTAGGATTACACAGCTTCAACCGCGACATTAACTCAGAGCACCAAAACTATGTCAAATCATAGTTACTCCAATTCTATGAATGAGTAAAAAAATACAACAGTAGTGGGTTGTTCACCTGTGATGTGACTTTTCGGTTACTGATGACGATGTCAGAGATGATAAGCTGGACAAAGACATTGAAAGGGCAGAAAAATTGTGTTTGTCCTCACTGGAGTTTGATTCATTGCTGTCTGGAAAAACACAGCAGTTTTTCAGGGCGACTCAGAAGTTGGCTACCTACTCTGAAGTGACACTATTTTCTCCCCCAAAAACATCCCTGACAGAGGTTCTGCAGTGGCGGTTCCTGTGGTAGGACCAAGTACAAAGTATTCGGCTGCTCTGGTCTGCAGGTTCCTGCAGTGGTCAAAAGCCTTTAGATGTTATGGATACAGGACAACGACAACAAAATGTGGAACAGTTGTAGCAATGCAGCAACATATCCACTGTGAGTGACAAACCAAAGCCAGGAAGCAAATGGTGTCACAGAGCATTTTGAATTAGGAACTAAGCAGCTCAAAGACATACATCCAAGACTTAAAGAAGGCAAAACCTGTGGGGGTACTGTGAGAGAATGGGGTACCAGGGTCACTGAAAAGTGAAAGCTGTGTTCATATTCTCTAATTATATAAAGTAAAGTACGTTTCCGGTTGGCTTTGGCCTTAGCCAGTGTTGCCTCTTGTCTCTGATACTGTTGACATTTATGGACAGGAGGGGAAGGTGTCTGGTTTGGGGACCTTTAAAGTTGTGTCTCTATTTTTTGCAGGTGATGTGGTTCATCAGCTTCATCAGACCGTGAATGTGATTTGCCATTTTCAGGTCTGAGGCAGTTATTCTCGACTGAAAACCACTGGATTGTTCTTTCTGAGTTGGGGGTAGGCTGCTGCTACAAGTGAAGGCGTTTAAATATGTTGGGATCTTAATCTTGTTGGCTGACAGGAAAATGTACTGCAAGATCGACAGATGGATTGGTGCAGCCTCATCGGTAATGCAGAAGTTGCAGCAGACTGTTGTGGTGAAGCTGGAGTTGAGCCGAAAAGTAAAACTCTCCATTTACTAGCCGATCTATGCTCCAGCTCTCGATGGTCATGTGCTCACAACAACAATCGAAAAATTGAGATTGCGGATACAAGCACAACAAAATATCTGGGTGACTGGACTCAGCCTTGGAGATGAGGGCGAGGAGCTCGGACATCGCTCCTCCTTCATTTCAAAAGGAACCAGTTTAGGTGGTTCGGAAATCTGATTCGGAGGCCTTTGGAGGTTTTCCAGGCACATCCAACTGAGAGTGGACAGCAGGGTAGATCCAGAGCTCAGTGGAGGGATTATGTATCTCATCTGACCTGGAGAATGTTGCTGGGTACGGGAAAGTCTGGAATGGCCCTGCTGTCCCTGTGACCCAACCTCGGGTAAGTGGAAGAAAAAGGGTAAAAGGATGGATTTTTGTAAAAGTAGTGAAGAATTTGGAGTTCATTGAAGGCACATTTGACAGAGAACTAATGAGTAATGAGTAATGTAATGGATTACTTTTTTTTTTTTTTTTTTTACCAGACTATAGTTTTCAAGTCGCTCAGCACTGCTTAAGGCTAGATATATTTACATTTGACTACATTTGAACAAGACCAGTATTATCAGGGAAGGCTTTCATGCAGCAGACCTTCACACTGCAAGACACGGTTTGCTAAACAGATGACTGACTAAATAAAATATGAACATTCAAAATATTACAAACTTTAGAGACTTGGTGTCGGGGCCTGAGCTCATAACTTAAGTATTTCTAAAACCCTGGCTGGGGACCTGAGAATTTCTACACGGTGAATAGTTGAAACGTAAAGGCTTAAACCCAAACTGTACATCACAAGAGCGATTTTAGAAATGCTGTCAGGGAGGAAACCGTACCTCATTAGTGTCCTAGATATTGATCCCATCCTATAATTAGCAGCAGTGGTTGGTGTCAAGAGCAAAATGGTAACTTTATACAGAGCGAGGATTCATCGCGTGAGATTCACACATACATGCAGGTGCATTAGAGAGCATTATGTAAGATACTGAAAGAAATGTCTGAATTGTTAAACTGCTGAATGTAGCGTTTCAGAATTACACATAATCAAGTGTTCACCTTTTATATACAACATCCATATTTTTAAAACAAACTGAAGGACAGGAGGAAAGTGAAAGTTTATCTGTCTCCAGCATCATCGCTTTTGAAATTAAAGCTGCCAGGTCTCAGGTCCTAAACCTGTCTACAATATATATTAAAGTCACTTTTTCAGTTTTGTCTTTGTGACATAATTTCCAGGCACAAAGGGAGGCGTTGGCCACAATTACTTATTGTTATTTGTGCTGTCAGCCTTCATCTATTGTTGCTGAGGTTTCAAGTTCTTTTTGTGAATAAACTCACTTTTACTGACCTTTTCTTCACAAAAGCTCCCTACCTCAGAAAGATATCTTTGCTGTGCTGGATAACACTGTGTATGCTACAGGAATATTTTATTTTTGTTGAAAAAGAAGAAGAAGTTATAAACAAGAGGACCAGCCACTTCAACAAAACACAATCTTGTGTATTTGCATAACCCTGTATCATGACCAGTTACACTGCAGAGGATTTTACAACAGCAAAAGCAATTGGATCTTACACATATTGCAAAGGAAATAATGGTCTCCATTTTACTTTTTCTGAAATATCCTTATTTTTTTATTTCAAGTCAAATTTACGCCCATCCTTTTCTTCCTATCTCTGCTTATGTGAGTCATAATCTAAAGTTGCTCACTCATACCCAGATGGAAATGGCTCTGAGTCACACTTTTTCTCTCAATGGAGCATCAGAGCTACAAGAGGCAAAAAGTGCTAAAAAGGATGTTGTTCAAAAATTCATAGAAGGGATGCTAAGAATACATTAGTTGCATAATCAGCCCTTACAAGTACACATTCAGTTTATGAACCCAAAGCTATTAGTATGTTGGGTTTCCACATATCAGACAACATATTACAGCATCCCAAATTTCTTGCTGTTGTAAACCAGAGGATTAATGAACTGAAATTGCAGTATAAAGAAGTTTACTTACATTTTACAGCCAGGACTTCCAACAATATGCAAATCAATAAAGATGGCAGGTCCATAGTCAGACAAAGGGAAGAGCAGTCTACAAGCAGTGTGAGGCTTAACCTGTGTGCGCTTCTAATCTTAAGGGGAAGGCATCTTACCTGCACTCTCAGGTTTCTTATAGTTTCTGTTTCCGTTTCCATGGTCACCTCCTTGCCCCAGACCGATGTATAATTGAAGCTTGTAAAGCACAGCCCCCTTCCATGATACTCAAGCTGTCCTATACTGGCCCATTGTTTATATAACCACCCAGTTACTGTTGCCTCATTTAATGCCACATTAGAGCTGAAGAATACATGGTGTTAAATGTGTTGCCACGAGCCTATACAGCAGGGCTACCTGTTGACTTTCAGCATGCATTATTGAACAGGTCCTCTGGTGCTGTAGCTCTGTACAGTATGGACATATGTGTGACTGGGACTTCTAATATGGATCAGATGGGCTGCTGTCATATTAAAGGAAAGAAGATACAGTCCCCGCAGCTCGCTCTCATTGATTTCCCCAGCAAGGATTAATGAGGGGGTTTGACTGATGTTAAGCAGCAAAATCTTTCGTGACAGACCAGGTCAAACCAGCTCAGCCGCTCCACATCTTTTCTAGGACTGGGTGTCATTAAAAATGGAGCACAGCTCAGGCTGGGGCTCATCACAGCTACCATTCCTCTGTGGAGTTCCCGACCTCAGCTGACTAATAGCCCTCTCTGTTGCCCTCCCTGCCGCTGATAGCTGTAGCCGTGCTCCTGGTACCTCTGTCATTCCCCCCGAGTGCTGACCGCTGCCGTTTTTCCACATGACCCGCTCCTCAGTCCAAGCGCTGTCATTACTGCAAAAGGCTGCCACTCCCCAATCTCACATTGATCTGCCACAGCACTGTCATCCACAACTCTCCTCTTTGTTTTAAATACACTCTGTCGGTGTAAGTTTTTCAGCTGAAGCCTGGTTGTTACGCTTTATTTCAACACTTTAGCCCTTCTCATTTAGGGTAACTTGTATAGGAGATAAGAAAATGAACTAATAAGCACACTACTGCACAGCTGGAAACTGAGTATGGACAGTTTATGTGTTTTATAATAACAATTCTAACTCTGTCTATGAGGCATTTTAAGTCGTGTACTAACAAATAATGAACAATTGACAATATAATACATGTATATGATATAAAAAATAGAGTTGTAATGAAAGAAAATGTGTCTCTAGTTCAACATGTTTTCATGATTTGTAAAATTGTTGGTGAATCTTCTGTTCTCATGTGTTAAATTACAATATGTCACTTTTTTTTTTTTTTTTTTAATCATTTTTGCTATATCCGGCATTTTTGGTGCATGAATTACTGATCCATGGTGGATTATCTGTGTACTGCAAGTGTCTGAATTTATACATCAGGTTTTTGTGGGGGGGAAAAATATCCCACTGAAGATGTAGAGGTGTCAAAAACTCATGTATCAAATACAATACACTTGCCGTTACAGGGTTAATATGATTACAGCTATTTTAAACTTGGTTATTAATCATTTCCTAACTGTTTATATGCTCATTTTAAATGTTTTATAATAGTTAAAACTATTTAAAAATACATCCACAAAACCAAAATACATATAATTGCTATCATGTGTACATACTGCTCATAAATGTCAACCTCGAGGATGACAAGTTGATGTATTTTTGAATTGTTAACATGCGGAAAACAATAATTAATGACTGTAACAAAATGTGTTCCTGGAAAGAAAAACACCCAGATCTGGAGATTACTCCGGTTTTCTGTCTGTCATCTGGAGCAGCACTGACATTTTATCGGTGCCAGCATCACTACCGTCACTTCTCAGCACCAGTGACTCAGCAGCACACGCTTCATGTTTAACCCTTCGGTGATTCCTCTTTGAAAAAATGTCTTCACTTACAAATATGTTTAGCTTGTAAAAGGGAATTCCTAATATGTGTCATTCTATTTAGTGTCAAAATATTTTGTTAAAGGATTTGTCCTGCATCAATAATTTTAGGTGCAGCGATGCAAGCTGCAAGTACAACATTAACATTTAATCACTTAATGTAATGACAAGTGTGTTGGCAGACACTTGAATACTTGCACACTGAGATACGTTAGCGTCCATTTTAGGTCAGGATTGGGTTGCACCAGCTACTCATTAATACCTCATGAAGCTGGATTCACAAAATCTGGCTGCGCCAGTAAAGGCTTAAGTTGTGTGTCGGTTGGTTGGGAGGAAAAAAATCTGACAAAAGCCATCAGTTATAGTCCTCGAAGACGCAAACCTTCAGGCTCTGTGCATCAGCAGATGACAAAAGAGCTCACATGTTGCTCAGAGTTAACCAAGAGGTGACAGTGCTGTTTAAAGTTCAGAGAATTCCCACTGAACTATCTCGCCTGTTAAACATGGTGGTGCGTCTCTTGTGTTTCTGGCGTGTATGGTTGCCAATACGGTTGGTCCGCTGGCATTTTACACAGCTGTCTAGACACCGGACAGTCAGCAGCAGTAAACTGGAAGTTACTGTCGCATTTTAAACTGTAACATAACTTTTCATAATAGTGTTGATACACAAAAAACTCATCTGTCAAATCTTTGTAAATGTACCTATGAGTGTGTTGAAAACTAGAAAGTTTGAACCAATAATAGTGGGCAAGTTAATTATTAACTCCTGTGTTCCCATGCCATTTTCTATGTGGTGATCCGAGTTTTGTGCTTTTGTGTAGCTCTGTGCTTTGGTATATGTGCTTCTGGTGGCTGGTGGCTGTGACTGCGTTTCAGGCTGGGTGGGGTTTTCCAGATGGGAGTGCTCTCACTCACTCTCCGCCACACTTGACACGCATCTACAATCAGCGCTGGATGAAGCCTGCCTCCACCTGTGCACCAGCGCCAGTGGATTATCCTCCTTAGAACTGTAACAGACCAGCAGTGCTTCTAAGAACTTTGTGCTTTGAGATACACTCCTGATCAAAATCTTAAGACCAGTTAAAAAATTGCATGAATTTGCATTTTGCACTGTTGGATCTATGGAAGGTTCTAAGTAAAGCTTCAAAATGCAGAAAGAAGAAATGGGAACAAGAGACCAAAAGTTGTGAGCAGGCTATTTGTTGAGAACAACAATTTAACTCAAATAGGCTGTTTATCAGCTGATCAAAAGTTTAAGACCACAGCCTTTAAAAGCCAAAATCTGTGAAAAAAAAATTTGGATTCCATGTCAAGTTTACAAAAATGGACATCAGGTCCAGACAGTGGATGCCCTTTGTGAAGCCATCTTCACCACTTGGAGCAACATTCCCACTAGCCTTTTGGAAAGACTTGCATCAAGCATGACAAAATGAATTGTTGAAGTGATCAACAATAATGGTGGAGCTACTCATTACTGAGTCAGTTTTTGACACTTTAATTTCTGTTTGAGGAGGTTTTTGAGGTTTTTTTTTTAGCTGTGGTCTTAAACTTTTGATCAGCTGATGAACAGCCTATTTGGGTTAAATTGTTGTTTTCAATAAATTGGCTACTCACAACTTTTGGTCTCTTGTTCCCATTTTTTCTTTCTGCATTTTGAAGCTCTACTTAGAACCTTCATAAGATCCAACAGTGTAAAATGCAAAGTCATGCAATTTTTTAACTGGTCTTAAGATTTTGATCAGGAGTGTACCTTGCTTTGTCTAATATGTGTTTTCGTCTGTGCTTTTGCCAGAACCTCCCCAATGGATCATCGCCTCCCCTGCTCAGCTTTGCCAGCTGAACTACAGCCTCTATCGCCTCGGCTCCCCCAGGAAACTTCCCCAGGATTTCCCTCACTCACTCAGCTACCCTCACAAGCTTCCCGGTGTCCCCTGGTTCCCTGCTGTTGTTTAATAATCCCTCTTGTTTTCACTCCTAAACCCGGTGTTGCATTTTTGGATCCTTCCTTCGACTGAACCCTAACATTCTAAATGTTAAATGCATTCAATTATGTTTAGCAGATGAGGTAATAAAGACGTCACTTTGGGCTTTGGGAGACTAATTATGTGGAAAACATTAGGCCTGCAACTAACAATTATTTTCGTTATGACTGAATGTAATATGAATGTAATTTGTTATTTAGCTAAATATTTGCCTTATCATTTTTAATCGATCAACCAAATGATGAATCCAGTTATTTAAATAAAAGCTGTAATAGTCTTGGTTTTAGAAGCAGTCGATGATAATTAGTATTGTATTCATTTCTGCAGCCTGACTTTAATTAGTAGGGTAGATTGAGAAGTATTAGCTGGCAACTATATGATTTGTTTGTTAAGTTTAAAAATGTTTGATTATCATGACATGCTGTATCATTAGCTTAATGTGTTATATATCAGAGACGTCTAACAAAACCAGACGGTTGAGTACAACATAAAGCCTCGTCGAGGCCAGTTGTAAAGGAGAGAACAGAGTGTACGATCAGATAACACAATCAGTTAATGTCCTGTACTGCATACGTCCTCACACAGTGTCTGATACATACAGATCTAAAAAGGGAAATCTTTTTTTTTTTTTTTTTTTTAAAAGCCCATTTCCTGGTTTTGATCATTGTTCTTTATAGAAACATATATTGTTGATACATTTGGTACATTATTCTTGTATTAACATCATAAAGCAAGTGTATACTTTGCTGAAACGTGGTGTTATACTCGGACAGTCTAATTTTTATAGCCTGTAACAAGGTGGAATGACTTATCCTTTAATTAAACTTTCATTTAGGAGGTTCATCCAATCAAGCAGACTGTAAACATTCACTCTGCCCATAATCTGGTGATGATGATGACTGTTTAAGAAGTTCCCACCCTCAAAACCTTTCGTACAAGCAGAGCTTAGAAATAGACATAATACAAGAGAACACTTCAGCTTTGTCATGTAGTAGGTCAGTTCCATTGTGGCAGTGTGAGACGAAAAAGATAATTTAAACAAAAGATCTGGACAAGGATACAGTTACAGTATATAAGGCAACAGGAGTTCATAGGTATCATCAATTGGAGATACTCTCCTCTCAGGTTGTTGTATTTGGACTTTCAGGTAAGCAAAAAATTATTCTAACCCTTTTCAGTTAAATGTAAAACTTCATATTTAATCGTCTGACCAAATTTCACACTATACCAGTATTTTAAATATTAATTTAAAAAACTTCTGTTTCCGAATTAACTTCATTCATTTGCATTAAAATGGTCATTTAGTCCGCTAAAATCCTTGCCACGAATGCACGATGATGACTCATCACTGTTCCATTTTTATTAAACAAATCCAAATTAATTACACTCCATTAGTAGATCAGTAACAATTTAACCATTGATGTAACATTGCAATTTTCTAAATAAGTTGTTCGTTTGTTTTTGTCACTTATTAGTCTCTTACAGCAAAATGTAATGTGATTGTCTATATATGTCATCATACACTATACATACATCAGTTTTCATTTGTTTCACTCAAACATAATGCAGTTTTACCAGGATTACCTGAGCAGTTTAATTATTTGGTACGATATACACTGCTGCTAAAAGCTGCTCAAAGTTATGTTTCTGCATTCCAGGTAAAAGTAAAAACATGGCTCTACTGCAAATCTCTACTGTGCTGTTGTTTTTATCTTTGTCATCATATTCAGGTAAGATTTTCAAGTCTTCATTTTTTACTTTTTTTTTTTCTTTAAATTCCTGAGCAAATAATAATGGCATTAATTCCTAGACTGACGATACAGAACCATGTTAAAGCAGACTTTTGCTGAGCAATGGCAGACAAGAGGGTGAAAATTGATTTTCCATTATGTGGAAATAATATCGCTCTCTCTCTCTCTACCTCCTATTGTTTCGCATAATTACATTCTAATTATATAATATAGCATACAACTATATTGTACTTTTACGTTAGGATGCTTTTCTCTGCAGCAGGCCACAGAACAAACAGTTTAACATTTTCTTTGCAAACCAAAGGAAATAATAGAAAATACTAACAGTCCAAATGGCTGACTGCCCCCCAATTATTGCTGCCTACAGAGACGCTTGCAGGGCGGATCATTGGGGGTCAGGAGGTGTGGCCGAACTCTATCAAATATCAAGCATCTTTGCAGACTGAGAATGGGAAGCACTACTGTGGAGGAACCCTTGTGCATGCACAGTGGGTGGTGTCTGCTGCCCACTGCTGGAGACCGTAAGAACTGATACTAGACAGCAACAGATGATAACGTTGATGTTCTCAGAAGAGTTACAGTGATTTTGAATTGAATGTGCTAATATAGAATAAGGGTGGATTATTTGCATAGTAAAAAGTGTGTGTTTGGAAGCAATTTAAGTCTGTTTGTGACTCCTAGGAGCCCTAAGATGAAGGTGGTGTTAGGTGAACACAACATGAATATAGAAGAAGGATATGAACAGATCTTCAATGTCTCAAGAATATACGTCCACAACTATAACTACAAGACATTCAACAACGACATCATGCTGATTAAGGTAAGCAGAACCGTAGCACCCTGATATGATCAATACGTGGAGCTGTTGACATGTGCGTACACTCCTAACTTGTGCTTAGTTGGCGAGCGTGACTTTGTTTTTGTGCTACAGCTGAGCAGGCCGGCAGTACTGAATGCCAAAGTCCAGCCAGTCCAGTTACCTGATCAGTACACCCCTCCGATACGTGGCATGTGCAGAGTGAGCGGCTGGGGTGTGACGCGGGTTTACTCTTACTACCTCTCCCCTGTGCTACGTGCTGTGGACGTGAGCGAAATTCCTAACTGTTACTGGTACTACTGGGGCAGGATCACTCCAAATATGCTGTGTGCTGGATCTCGATACGGTGGCAAAGATTCCTGCCAGGTAGAAATGCATGCCACATGAATGCTTTCATTACTACACTGCATAACAATATATCACAGTGTCATTTTGTATGGTACATAACATTTTTCAAATTAATATTCACAATGGTCTTCATCTTTGTCAGTTGCATGCTTCTTTGGGCTAAATCAGATGCAAACATTGTTACGTTACATAACATTTAAAACAACAGATGCTGACCCATGCAAGTACAATTAACATTAAAAAATGTACATAAAAAGTCAAATGTTAAGATTAAGACTCTGCAATAATATATATATATATATTTTTTTAACAAAATTACCTATAAAGAAAAACTAATGAATAAATAAATATTGAGGTTATTGCCCTACAATAACAATATTATACAGACTTACCTGATTAAATTAAATATTGAATAGAATAGAATAGAATAGAATAGAATAGAATAGAATAGAATAGAATAGAATAGAAGTTTTTTTTTTGGTCAACTTCTCTATATATCCAGGGCATACACTCTGCATTAGTGCCATACATTAAAAAAAAAAAAAAAAAAGGATCATAATACAAATAAAAGAAAATATAATACATAAAAATCAGCCTATGTACACTGGTGGTAGTGCAATAGAGTGACAGCTTACTGAGGTGATAGTAGTGCATTATGGTAGCAGCTTGCTGAGATGTACAGTGGTGCAAATGGTTCAGTAAGTAAATTTGAAATTAAGACCCAACAAAATTTTAAAGAAAAACCCGACAATTCACCTTTAAGCAAATATACGTCCAAAGATAACATCAATCCCCTTAAGACCATAAATATCTCTATAAAATCTCACGACAAATCTAATCGTTGAGATATAGGCTGGCACAAAGCTAGTATATGGCTAACAGTAGTTTTTCCCATAACATTCAAGACAGCAAGTGAGAAAGACATTTTACCAAAACACCTTCACCATCTCTGATTTGTCTTGGTGATCCACAGGGCGACTCCGGTGGTCCCCTTGTCTGCAGTGGCTACTTTGAAGGCATTGTCTCCTGGGGCATCGGCTGCGCAAATGCATACTTCCCTGGCGTCTACACCAAAATGAGGAACTACGTAGACTGGATCAATGGCATTGTGAACGAAACACCGTGAACAGGCACTTTTTTACTTCAGAAACAAAGTGCTTGTTTGACATGATTTTTCAGTGGCCTTGTTTAAAAATTATTACTACCTTTGTGTTTTTATAGCACTGAATGTAACTTTACATATTGACCACAATTGCAAGTTATAATAACGAGGTTTAGTCATTTTTAAAAACAAGGTTTCCTGGATAAATGTTACTATGCTTATTATTCATTGATTTTCATTCATACAGAAATAAATGTTATTGTTGTTATTATTATTAATGTTATTATTACTAGTGATAGCAGTAGTAGTTGCAAACTTAAAGCTGTGTTAATTAATTAGTAGAATTGGGCAAAATCAGTAATAATATTGAATAATACCTGGCCCTATTTATCAAAAAAACAAACAAAACATTTTCACATTGAGTAAAATGACTGTGTGTAATGTGTTTGTCTTTATGAGTGACACCTGTCACATTGCATCTGGATTCATTTCAGTCCAGTGGAAATATAAAATATTGATTAGTGCAGCTTTCAGGACATCAAATCAAAGCACTAGGTCTATGAACTGAAGTTGCTGCTGGCCCAGAATAAAAGAACAAATCATTCACAGTTACAGTGAAGATGAGCTGTTTTGCTGAACTAATGCTAACGATTGATCTGTGTTGTGTGTCTAGTAATATCTTGTCTTGTCACCAGAAGAATAAAAGTCAATGAATACAATTATCACACTTGCAAATTGGAGTAAAGGCGCTTTTCAAATATCCTAAAAGGCCAATAGTGGTTGCTCCGAGTAGGAACGATCCTAATTAACATTTCTAATTTCAATTCAGGTCACAAGTACAAGGAAAACTGATGCCTTGTCATGATGTGCTTGTACAGATGAGCTGCTGTCATTGGAAGATATTGTGCATGCACCAAAAGTAATTATAAAGAACAAATGGGCAGACCTGAGAATGACAGGGTGACTTCACACTGACGGCCAGGAGAAGCTAATGATATGCAGACACATCATGGCAGGGGTTTCTACCATCACAGCTGTCAAAGTGTGTGATCCTCTGTGGTAGTTTGACATGTGTGAAACTAAGTTGGTGGACTGTGAGGCAGCTGCTCTTTCTGAAAGGCTCTCCGGGACACAAGCATTATGTAAAGTTTGAGCTATATGACTATTGATTCATTATGTCAAATCTTGTAAAGCTGGGAGGTTATGTGGCTGAGAGGAGGCTTGAGAAATGGCGGAGATAAACATCTTCATATCTTAGCAGCGTTTACTTTACAGCTCCACGTTTAAAGCAACTACAAAACACAATTTAAAAAAATCAAATTGCAGCATATTTATCTCTTTAAATTGAATGATTGACTCGTCAGAAATGCATTCCTTCTAAATGTTGAAATGACTGACATAGTGCATTTTGTATTTTTTCATGGAAAACATTAGTAAAGTTTGTTTTGTTTACCTGATCCAAAGAAGAGAGAGATAAAAAAGCAGACGAAGAATTTTCGCGCATGCGCATTATCAATTGGTTTGTTTACATCACAGTGTCCTTGCGAGAGCTAGTTGTGGGTAAAGGCTAACACACAAACGGGACCTCTATAGCAGCTTAAGTTACCTTTCTCGGTAAGTTATGTCTGTGAAACACGCCATTAGCCGGGGGCTCGAGTTGGGCCGGTCGGTCTTTCAGATGGGGCTCCTCAAGTCAGGTGGCCGAGTCGCAGCGAAGCTCCGAGCTGACCGTTTCCGTGTAGGCCCGTCGGTCCGCACCGTTCAGCCTCAGGCTTTCCTGCCGTCTCGGTACCGCTATTACCGCACCTCTCTGAAGGGCCTGGCAGCCCAGCTTCAGTCCGCTGGCTTTAGGAGGAGGTTTACCGGCTCGTCCCCGCGTAACAGGGCCGTGTTTTTGGCTTTCGGCCTCGGTGTGGGTCTCATCGAACAGCAGCTGGAGGATGACAGGAAGACTGCAGCGACATGCCAGGAGATCCAGGTATGGAATCAGGAGAAAAGTATCACACATACATGTCTGTGAAGATTCTCAGTCATCCAGGTCACGGTTATTCTCGTAGTTTAATCGTAACTACTCCCAGCTTGTCAGTTAGGACTGGTGAAGAGGTAAAACGTCTTCAAGAAACTCGAACAAGTCCAGTAATTACGATTAAACTTCGAGAATATCCATTCATTATCTATACACCTCTTAATCCTCATTAGGGTCACGGGGGGGCTGGAGTCTATCCCAGCTGACTCAGGGTGAAGGCAGGGGACACCCTGGACAGGTCACCAGTCTATCACAGGGTACACTTAGAGACAGACAACCAAGCACACTCACATTCACACCTACGGACAATTTAGAATCACCAATTAACCTCAACATGTTTTTGGAATGTGTGGGAGGAAGCCGGAGAACCCGGAGAGAACCCACACTGCTGGGAGAACATACAAACTCCACGCAGAAAGATCCCGGTGCCTCCACCGGGACACGAACCGGCGACCTTCTAGCTGCGAGGCAACAGTGCTTGCAGCCCCACTACGAGAATATCATACATATAATGTTGAGGCATTTAAAAATGTCACATTTATGCTACCTATGCTGAGCTACATGATACATAGCTATTAGTTATTTTGCGAATCAAGATTTTACATACAAACCAAATGACAAACTTATAAAAATAACTACAAGCAAAATATCAATGATGTCTATTTTTGATTCTAACTCAGTTTAGCTAAAAGTACTTCTGCACTTGGTGCTTGTGTAGCAATTTAATTCTAATGTAAGACATTAAGACACTTCACATAGGATGTTTAGAGTTTATATTACGCATATTGTACATTTTGCATTTTATGTTTTCTTATTGTTGTTTTTGCTTTTTTTAAAAAATCAGTATTTATGGTGGTGGTATCTTTACTCTTTGTGCTGTAATAACCCCTCAGGGATTAATAAAGTATTTCTATTCTGTCCTCTTCTATTTCTCATATGAAGTAATTTACTTTGTTGTCCAACTGCTTTTACTTGTGTAAAATACTTAAGTGTTTGTTCCACCACTGACCGTCTGCTTATGGTGTGGTGTTGTGATGATACCAAGACTTAAATACAACCTTTTTGCGCTAATGTGTCAGTTTCCCTCATATTATTAGTTGGATGGAGCCTGTGTAGTAATTGCAAGTGACTGTGGTTATGCTTGAAAGAGGTTACAGTACATTATGTTTATATATAACATATATATAACAGTTACATATATAGCTTGTTGTAATGTTTAAGAAATATCTATCTATAGAGCTTAATCAGAATAAAATAGGGATTTTGACCATCTTTATGAACCAAATGACATTTTGGGAAACACCAGTGTGTGTTGGTATTAGTCACATAATGCCAAACATACGCTAATTATACTCACAACTTAGTGTACCTTTCTTTTTTTTCTTTTTTTTTTGTTTGCATTTGACCTTTCATTCCAAGCAGTGCTTTTGTTTACTCAAGTATGACTTATATATTTTTTTTTCTTTTGTCATGGTTTAAAAATTTGAGCACAGATTGCAGATACTTTTCTTTAACTGAACCTGTTATTGTTTCTCTGGCTTTAGGATGGGATGGGATGTGCATACAGCAACTTTAAGGTATCTTAAATATTATCTCTTCCAATCTGCAGGCTGTATTCAGAAAGAAAAGATTCCAGGGCCCACTCAAGCCGTTCATCTCTGGGTATAAACTGGAGGACTACTTCATAGGGAACCAGATCGGGAAAGGGTCCAATGCGGCTGTGTACGAGGCTGCAGCTCAGTTTGCCCCCCCAACGGAGACTGACAGAAAGTCCCTGGTGCAAATGAGAGATGATGAAGAGGAAAGTCAGACGACTCGATCACTGACATGCTGCTCACTGAGAAACTTCCCTCTGGCTATCAAGATGATGTGGAACTTTGGGGTGGGTAATTTACAACAGATTTAATTACAGATAATTCATTAACTAATATAGTTATTAACCCTTAGTGGAAAAGCAAACAGAAGACAAGCCCACATCAGTACTGACAGATATTTTGTTTATGCTGTTTGCTTGCAGGCGGGATCATCAAGTGAGGCAATATTAAAATCCATGTCTCAGGAGCTGGTGCCTGCAGGCCCTCTTGCCTTAAAGCAGGACAAAGAACAAATTGCTCTGGATGGGTAAATATTATGTCCTCAGTACTTTCAGTCCTGTCCTTCAGTATTGACACAAGGATAGAAACATGCTCATGAATTGCTGTGATCTCTTTACATCCAGACATTTTGGTGTCCTGCCCAAAAGAGTGTCAGCACACCCGAATGTGATTAGAGTGTACCGGGCTTTCACAGCAGACGTCCCATTGCTACCGGGTGCCCAGGAAGAGTATCCAGATGTGCTACCAGCCAGACTGAACCCTGCCGGCCTGGGCAACAACCGCACTCTTTTCCTGGTCATGAAGAAGTAAGACCTGCCATCTTTCACCCTGGATGGGAATTAGAATGCTTTATGAAGGCATCCGCTTCAGACTTTACAATGTTTTTCACAGTTCGTAGCTATAACTACAGATAAAACCTGTCTTTTTCTGTCTCATAGCTATCCCTGCACGCTGCGACAGTACCTGGAAGTTTCCACACCAGGCCGCAGGCAGGGCTCCCTGATGGTCCTGCAGCTCCTCGAAGGGGTCGACCACCTGTGCAGACAGGGTGTTGCTCACAGGGATCTCAAATCGGACAACGTGCTGCTGGAGTTCGACTCAGGTCAGAGAAACATTCGCTCAGCAGAACAGTTGAAACACAAATATTAATTACGTCAAGTTGAGCTTTGTTTCTATCATTTGTGGTAATATGATTTTGCTTTTATTCAGATGGTTGCCCTCGTTTAGTGATTTCTGACTTTGGCTGCTGTCTGGCCCAGAATGACTCTAATCTGCAGCTGCCCTTCAACAGTGTCTGGGTCAGCAGAGGGGGAAATGCCTCCCTTATGGCTCCTGAGGTAGGCTTGAATAGTTCTTTATTGTAATTAAGTAGTCAGCAGTCGCTGATCCATCTGTTTTGGGCCACTGTTACATCTTGCACTTGTTTAAATGTCAGGAATGAAGCATGCATTTAGCAGGGGGAGATGGTAAAAGAAGATGCATGCTATGGCCTTCTGGCAGTAAGATGTCTATACACATAGACAGAAACATCATATAACACAGTTAAAACTTTGATATGACCAATCCGCATGGACAATATGTCCCTCAGTATAGTATACACAAGAATAATACGTTGAAACAGAATTACCCCCTACACTGGATATAACCAGACGTGGTTTGCTCAAATTACATTATACATTAAATTACATTATAGTGTAGTAGCCGAACTGTATGTTTATATTGTGCTAAATGCAGTTTGACACAAATAAAATTTCTCATTTAAACACAACTGACCACACTTTTAAATACCACCAATTTTCTGCCATTAGGTGACCACTGCAGTTCCGGGATGTGGTGCGGTGATTGACTACAGCAAGGCTGATGCCTGGGCTGTGGGTGCAATTTCCTATGAGATATTCGGACAGCAAAACCCATTCTATCGAGCAGGGGGGCTGGAAAGCAGGAATTACCAGGAGAAGCAGCTCCCTTCTCTGCCCTCTGGTGTTCCAGCTGATGTGCAGTTGGTGATACGATTACTCCTCAGGAGGAACCCAGGCAAGGTACAGCAGGAGTTGTGAGGGATTTGTCTGTTCATGATTGATGTGATTGAACAGGGTGTCTACAGATACAACAACACTCTTGAAGTAACATTCTTTTATCATTCAATTCAAACATTGTGATTATAAAGTGTCATCAAATTGGAGTACTTTCAGTCTTGTTTTTTCTTGTAAATTAGGTCAGTTATACATGAATTAGACATGAATCACGTTAAATGGTTGTAAAAATAACCTGTACCAGTTGACTTTTTTGGCCACTTGGAGTCTGTGCAATAGTTTTTACTTAAAACTAGGAACATGCTGTATTTTTATGTAGTGTACAATGATTGGGTCTGGTAATGTTGTGTACATAGTGGAAGACTAGTGCTTTGGAGTTTACCTAATGAAGCATGCCACAGTCTCCACCAAATCCTGAGCTTCTTTAGCCCCTAAATGTTCCACGATGTGGCCAAGTGGCATCAAGGGTCATCGGAGCTTTTTAATGAAAGTGAACAAAAACAGTGATATTGTAGGCTGTAAAAGAGAAATGAGTCAAATAATGAAAATACTTAAAGCCTTGGAGGGATTAACAGTGTATGAATTCATTTTCTGTGGGTTCCTAGAAGCAGCTCCTGTTACATTGCACATAGTTATTTTTGCCAATTTCCTGATAAAATACAGATTAGAACAGCTTTAAATATAATTGATTTTGCACTCATTCGCGTATTAGTGATTAAGCAGTCATAGATATGTGTATCCTCTTGTTTTAAATGAATGTGATCATGTTTGTTTTGTCCAGTGGCTCACTGTAATGACTGACCATCATTAACTGATAGCACCCTACTCATCTATGTTATTCTTACTCTGCAGCGCCCCAGTGCCCGTGTGGCAGCTAACATGCTACATCTCAGCCTCTGGGGTCGGAGGGCCCTGGCCAATCAGGACAGCGCTGGCATGAGGAAGCTGGCTGATTGGTTGCTGTGCCAGTCTGCTGTGGTTCTTCTGAAGGGATGCAGCGGACCCAGTGGGAACAAGGTGGAGGCGGAGCTTCAGAGGAGCTTCCTGTCCAACCTGGACCTGGAGGACCTACGCACTGCTGTAGGCTTCCTCCTCTATGGGCGGGAACAGGCCTGCATACTGTCTGCATAGATTCACTCAGATGCATAACTTAGAGTGTGGTTAAACTGGGAGCCTATAGAGTTAAGTCTTGCTTTAATATTCACTCAGACATCTCTAGTTGTAGTGTTTGTAGACTTATCCAGAACACCTAATGGATGTGTAGTGGAGCAAAACCCCAGCACTCTTATACTGTTACGTGACATCTCTGCATTTATTGTGAAATGGTACAATTCACCCTTTTGATGCGTCTACCTCTCCCAAAACTGTGTTGTTCTATGCTCCCAAGGTGTTGATTTGCATTTCCCACAATAAGTTTTCACAAATTAGTGAATTTGTTTCACTTAGCATCTCTACTATACTAGCAGAAGTTCAAAATGCAGCATGTCTCATTAATGTATTGCATGTAGGACTATTGAGGCTTCTGCTGGTGTAGGAATCACCTTAGCATCCCTGTATTAAGAATTTTTTTAAAATCGCGTTGTTAGTAGTAACGGCTGCTGGTAATTCTGTGGAGAATGGAGTGGACAGTGGATGCATTATTTTTTTTAAGCTCTGATGCACTTTTAAGATGTTTGCAAGGCAAAGCCCCGCACTCACATTTATTTTTACAACTGTGCAGAAGTTTTGTACTGATGAAAGTGGAGGCCAATGCAGATATTTTAGATTCAACTGAAACAATATATTGTACTAGACTCTACTGTGTAGGGTTGCCAATGGGTGTCTGTCTAGGTTAGCAGCCACTACATTTATCCTGCACACTTAATTCATGGAACATCTCTCTAAAATGTTAGTACATAACAAGCACAATGATCTTGGGTAAGTCATGCAGAGTGGCCCATTTCTGTTTGCACTTTATGTCCATGTTTGCACATGCTCAGATCTGTCAGTGTGGCTTTCTGATTTTTGTTTTGTTGCCAGCTTATATATGATACCTAATAGGCGGTAAACTGAATGTAGGAACTTAACCATTCACACTACACTATGATTTGCTATCAACTAGTTAAGTCTACAATGTGCTTCCTGAAATATCACAAAATTGTGTGAATAGTTGGAGGTGCAAGATAAGGAGTGTGTAAATGGTTTCATACAAAAGATTTAGAGAAATATTTTGGATATATGTAGATTTTTTGGGTGTGTTTGAGAATAAAAGGGTCTGAAAGAGCACTGAATGTCTTTTCACTCATTAGTAGACTTATTCTAAACTGACTAAAGGTGTGTCAGACCAGTGGTTCTACAATGAAATTACAAGGATTTTGTCTGTCTTAACACTGTTTTTAAACGTACATGTCCTTGCAGGCTGATCCTGAATGCCTTTGTCTTTAAGTTCTGTAGCTGATCTCCTATGGAATTTTTCACTGGGTTTAAGACAAACATAAAGCAGCTCCATAGAAATAGTAAACACGCAAACAATATTTATCACCTGCAACTAGCAGTTGTGAGTATTCACTAAAAATTAAAATAGAGCAGGTTTGAAAAATAACACAAACAACTTCACATTACAGGAACTTTATTTAAGACAGAGCCAAACTGGCAATTTTTACTCTGAACACACTCAAACTGGTAATTAACAAACATTTCTGTTTGGAATGTATTTAGGAACACACTGGAGTTTCCTGGCTAACGCCCTCCTATACTCGTTTAATACTCCTCTCCTTCCTCCTCTCCCTCACCCTCAATGGAGTCAACTCCAACCTCCTCGTAATCCTTCTCCAGAGCTGCCATATCCTCTCTGGCCTCAGAGAACTCTCCCTCCTCCATACCCTCACCTACATACCAGTGAACAAAGGCACGCTTAGCGTACATCAGGTCAAACTTGTGATCGAGCCGAGCCCAGGCCTCTGCAATAGCAGTGGTGTTGCTCAGCATGCACACAGCCCTCTGGACCTTGGCCAGATCTCCACCAGGAACCACGGTGGGCGGCTGGTAGTTGATGCCAACCTTGAAACCAGTGGGGCACCAGTCCACAAACTGGATGGAGCGCTTGGTTTTGATTGTGGCAATGGCAGCATTGACATCTTTGGGTACCACATCGCCACGGTACAAGAGGCAGCAGGCCATGTATTTGCCGTGGCGAGGGTCACACTTCACCATCTGATTGGCCGGCTCAAAGCAGGCGTTTGTGATCTCAGCCACTGAGAGCTGCTCATGGTAGGCTTTCTCAGCAGAGATGACAGGGGCGTAGGTGGCCAGGGGGAAGTGGATACGGGGATATGGCACCAAGTTGGTCTGGAACTCAGTCAGATCAACATTAAGGGCGCCATCGAAACGAAGAGAAGCAGTGATGGAGGACACAATCTGACTGATCAGCCTGTTCAAGTTGGTGTAAGTGGGACGCTCGATGTCGAGGTTCCTGCGACAGATATCGTAAATGGCCTCGTTATCCACCATGAAGGCACAGTCGGAGTGCTCCAGGGTGGTGTGGGTGGTCAGGATGGAGTTGTAGGGCTCCACCACAGCAGTGGAAACCTGGGGGGCTGGGTAGATGGAGAACTCGAGCTTGGACTTCTTGCCATAGTCAACAGAGAGACGCTCCATCAGCAGGGAGGTGAAACCAGAGCCAGTGCCTCCACCAAAGCTGTGGAACACCAGGAAGCCCTGAAGGCCAGTGCACTGGTCAGCCTGAGGACAGAGAGGGAGAGACAGCAACCAGGTATGAAACATAGTTATGTGAGTTAGTTTGCTATTCTGTGCATCTTCTGTTCTGAATTTACCCACCAGTTTGCGGATCCTGTCCAGAACCAGATCGATGATCTCTTTACCGATGGTGTAGTGTCCACGGGCATAGTTGTTGGCTGCATCCTCCTTGCCAGTGATCAGCTGCTCAGGGTGGAACAGCTGGCGATAGGTCCCAGTGCGCACCTCATCTAAGGAGGCAGATTTAATCAGCAATGATGCAAGAATCTGATTAAATTAAATCAGTAGGCAACTGTGATGTCTATTTCGTTGAGTTTACCAATGACGGTGGGCTCCAGGTCCACAAACACAGCCCTGGGGACGTGTTTTCCAGCTCCAGTCTCACTGAAGAAGGTGTTGAAGGAATCGTCTCCTCCGCCGATGGCTTTGTCACTGGGCATCTGTCCATCAGGCTGGATCCCGTGTTCCAAGCAGTAAAGCTCCCAGCAGGCATTGCCAATCTGGACACCAGCCTGACCAACGTGGATGGAAATGCACTCACGCTGGGGGGAAGAGAAAGAAGATTTGGATTAAAAATAAGTTGAGTCTTGTGCTTGTGATGAGGAGAGGAGGAGATTTCTAGAGCAGTTGCTGCTAATTAAAAAGGAGGAATTGGAGACATTTGTCAAGGTTACAATTAAAACCATGCAACTGTGGCACTATTTTATTATTTTTTTAAATAAAATAAATGTGTCTCCCCTCCTTGCATGAAAAACCTTGATTATAACGACACTGTGTAATTCCTATGATAATGAATGAGGTCATTTATTCTAGAGAAGCCTGAGCATTTTGGTGCTGCGACACAAAACTGTCTATTGCGTATAGGATTACTGTAGAGAGAGGGGGATTATCTAGGTCAGACACATTGCAGTGGGCTGTCTCTTTAAAAAGCCACATTCAGATTCTCCTCTGAGGTTTTGTGCAATAGAATTTGATTTTATTATATATTTTACAGCATCTAAATATAGATGCGTTAGGTGGCTTATAATTCAATGGCACACAGATATAGTGGGATTTATTATTTGATATGAGATTAACACAACATCATCACAAAATCATCTGTGGACAATAAATAGATGTAACATACATTTATATAACTGCTGCGTAAAGGGGCCAGAAAATCAGGTTGACGAACTGGCAATGCATGGTCAGGCAAAGTTATCTAAGCTGATTTATACCAGTTACGTGGGAAGAGGATTAGGCGTTTTCCAGTGCAGGAATGCATTGCTTTACCTAGGTGCAAATCTAACGAATTTTCGAGGTCTCGCATCATTTAAATTGACAATTAAACGATTTCTAGTCATAACGGGCTGCAGGATAAAGCAAGACAAGCGAGCGCATCGTTGGAGACGCCTCACAACAGCGACCTACTTTCCGTATCAGCGGCCATAAATTAGAATTTCAATGCAATTCATGTGCAAATAATATGATAGAAATCAACGTTAAAATCGTACTTACCATGATGGCTCGTCGATATTATGTAATGTAATGCGACAAGTCTGAGGAGCGTTTGCGTCCGAGGTGCGCGGTGGCTGAAGCTGCTCTGATGACGCGCAGGTGAAGTGCGCAAACTGAAAACCCTCCTCCGTCTGTTGCAACACCACCACAACCGTTCCCCATTTGTGTATCCAAGCAACACGAAATCATAAGACCCTCACACCCCTCTTGTGCCTCGATTGGAAAATGGAAGAATTTGGTGCAGGGATGCACAAACTTAACTGAAGATGCCACTAATTCAAAAGTGGCAGAAGGGAAAAAATGATTTAATGCATGTTAATTCATACAATAAACTCTGTTGTCCAAATTTTACCAGCTATGCTTACTGTATTTACACTTAAAAAAGGGAAACTAACTCCCTGTTACATTTACTAAAGTGCAACTTTGTATAATATAATTGTATTTAAGATGAGCATCATTAAATATTGTATTAACAAAATATTCAACAATTTAACATCAGATTATTTCATGTTGAGATTTTAAAAAATCTGTCATTGTAGGTTATATACAGTCTGCACATAAGCACAAAAATAAGATTAATAAACTAATAAATTATATTGACGTAGCACATTTCTTTCTACAACAAGTGCATTAAGCTGATCCAACAGAATCCCTAGAATAATTCCCATAATTGAATTAAATTCACTCAAAAGAGTTTGTTAGTAGACAGTCAAATATTATTGTTTACATCAAATCAATTAATCCTGGAACACATGGCTTGCTTGCCTTAATAGGTTTCTTTCAGCATCGAGCAATTGTGTTGGGCCGGCATCATTTATTTGGGTTAAATCACCCTAATGTACTGATGTAACTTCGAGGACTGTCAAATGAGTTGTGTTGATCCGCGGCCCTGTGACAGGGCTACTGGTCCAGCTCTCCGTTTCTAGGGTTAGGTTCTATCCGCCTACAGGCCCTTGACCTACTAGGATTCTGTAAAACTGCTTAAGCTGGTGTCAAGGAAACTCGCCTAGCTACTAACTGCCTTAATCCAAATGCCTACCCCGTTTCTTCTAATAGTTGACCCAACTAAGTAGCCTCAGTAGTCATACCAGACACACTGATGGCAGCTTTCCTCTTAAATGGATCGAGCACTTGGTAGTTGCTCAGCTAAAATGTATACGTTTGGGACAACGAACCCCAGGGATATGTTTAAAAATATTATTTTACTCATGACTTCGAATAACCTTTAAGAACCATGAAAAGGATCTCATGCACATAATTGACTGACTTTTCACTACCATCAGATACTGTGAATAATCCAATAAAATTTCAAAACAAATAATCTTTAAATGCAGGATTAAATATTTATCTCAAACCTTTAGCAGGGGCAAAGCAACAGCTCTTGATTATTCATTCAAATATTTTGAAATATGATTTAATCAATTGATTCGAGATGAAAAATTATAAAACTGAATTTTTCTAAAATAGAAACCTAATAAGTAATTTAGGGAGGGAGAGAGTCAGACAGCTAGGCCCATGCTGGCCAACTCAGCCCTGTTTAGACCTACGTCTGGAGGAGTCCTTTTCCAGTGATGCAGCAACCCAGTACAGTCCTGATAAAACCCTCCTGAATCAGGGGGAGATGAGATGTCTTGACTCTGTTTAGATCTGCAGTCCTTTTGCATCCATTAGGGGAAGGAAAAGAATACTTCTTCATGCAAAACACAGAAAGGGGTTCTGCTGCTCCTCTTGAGTAGAATTTGCAGACCCACCAGGACTTCTTCAATCAGTAGAAGAGAGTTCAACTCCAATGATGTCCTGTGAAGAACTCCGCCATCTCCATCGCGAGCGGTCTCCATGAGCAGTCTCCACGAACTCCGTCTGAAGTCTCTTTGTCATGCCTTTTAATACTGTTGTCGCTCCCATAGCTCTTAAATCACACACAACTCTCCCCCTCCACGCACATACTTCCATTACACAATTTATCCTTAGCACATACCTCTGATTATGCATACACATTTCTAATAGACGCTTCACCTTTAGCCCACACACCTGATGAGTTTGTCATTAGCTTAGCATCTGATCACTTGTTTGATAACAGCAAAGAGCACAGTTTGGCAATCACAGGATACATGCTGGTTAAAAGAGGAACCATTAACTGCTTTATCAATTAGTTCATTCTGCCAAGGTGGACAGTGGCCTCATATGACATGTCCAAACATGAGCTGTTTTAAAGACACTAACCTTTCTTGCTCTCTTGATATTTTCCCCTCTTCTCTCATCTTTAACTATGCAGCTTTAATTCAATGGTTAGACTAAATCACCTTTAATTCATTGCAGTGTGAAAATAACCATTTCATATTTAAACAATCACCAGATTACAGCATTTCTTATCATAGAGTCTTTTATATTGCTTACGCCGGGCCAGTGTTCTTTGTTAGTGGCTGCTTCTGGGATCTCAATCCTGGGCCTCACACCTAGCCCTTGGAATTATTTGAGTCAACTCTAATAAATGACGTTGCCTTAATTTTTTTGTTGAGGCCATTATTTTTCAGAGTGTAGTTTTAGCTGGAGGTATTTAACAAAAGGGCAACCAAACCTAAAGTTCTCATAGAGTCATTACAGTGTTTTGGTTTGCTTTTTTAAAAATCTTTTATTTTTTTATTAGAATTGTGGCTACTTGTTAAGTCATCGGTTTCCTTCCCCTCAAAAGTCATCAGCTCAGAGTGATTTGATCAGGTCCAAAACCCAGTTATACAGAGTTTACTGTCACAAAATATGTGGAAACCAGAAACTATTCAAATGTGACTTTTTGAAATCAAAGAATTTTTTTATAGATTTTCCTCTGAAATTACTCAAAATGAGCAAAATAGTTATAAATTATTTTTCTATTGATGGACTAATTAATCGTTGCTGCTAATCATTGCTGGTCTAATGTACACTTTGCATCAGAGGAAGACAAAAGGATTTCTTTAAGAAATGTATTAAAATGAATAATGAATGTGAAACATCACAAATAAATTGATAACGTTTTAATACTTTTATTCTTTTTGGCAGCTTTCTTGTAGTTGACTCTAATATATTAAATATTGTCAATAAAACATCTGAACAGTTACAAAGCTATAGATTTAGTAAGTACTTTTAAAGACTGATTTTATAATCAGGTGTCTGTACCTCCACAGCAGTTTATAAAGTACCATTTACTTATCTTACTTTATTAGTGACAAAATATACTGGAGGTAAAGGCAACTGTGTTTCAGTGAATCTTAGCTGCATGTTTATGCAAATGAAAATAGCAAAATGACATATCACATAAAATACAGTCAGAAAAAGTATAAAAGCTTTTGTAATCAGAGACCAGTTATGTACAGTTGTTAAACAATATTTTACTTCACAGAGATCTGGAGGCAGAAACAGAGTTTGTGGTGTGACTGAAAACTCGTTAACAAACACACTGTTAGAATCGTATAAAAGCCAGTGTTTGAAAGTTTGGCACTGTAAAGGTTAAAAATTCTCACAGTAAGTCTGTTTGGATTTATTAAGTCAGAATTATAAGAATGACTGTCAACAATTTTACTTAGTGTCAAATCTTCACCTTTTAACTCATAAATGTAACCTTGTAATTCAAAACTTTGATTTACTACATTTAAACCAGACTTCACAGTGTGCTACAGCTGCTACTCTGAATCAGAAAACTAGACTAGATTAACTGGTAATCCTACATTGTCTGTAGGTGTGAACGTGAGTGTGCTTGGTTGTCTGTCTCTGTGTGTTGGCCGTGTGAGGGACTGGCAAGGGTCAAGGTCACTCTAAGTCAGCTGGGATTAGGCTCCAAACCCCCCCTACCCACCAGAGGATGGACTTAGTTGGAGTATTTTTTTCATCCATTATCTATACATCGCTAAATCCTCACGAGGGTCGCGGGGGGCTGGAGCCTTACTGTATTCATTTATTTGTTAAAATCTAGTACAATGCTTTTTATGCACATGGGTATAATTTCTTTTTAAATAGTGTTTTTTCATCTAGCTCAGGTGAACTCAGTGGAAGTTATCTATCTGCTTTTGCATTTTCCCACCATGCACAAGTCAATCTAGACTTATATCATTATTTTTAATGACTGAGTCCAAATTCTGATTGAGGTTAAAAAAATCAACTTCAGACTCAGAATCACAACAGACTGGATTGGACTCTCATTTTATGTTGTATTCATGCTGAATGTTGGTCTTCTTGTTGACATGGTGTGTGGTTCCACAGCTGCCCCGCCTTCCTGATTTTTGGACTCATGGTGCCTTCAGGCTCACAATCGGGTCGTAACTTTTAAAACCAAATGCCCGACAAAAGGAAAGTAAATAAATGTATCCCGACCACCTGATTAGTTGTGTGCTGTGCAAAATGTATGTGCTGCATTTAACACCATTTAGGGATTTAATCACAAATTAAATGTTTAATTAGATATGAAACACTCTGACGGGTTTGCTGCCATCACGATGCGGAATCAAATATTACGAGCTTCCAAAGTGGCACTAAGGTATCCGCTGAAGGTTTATTTCTCCCCAGCTGACACAGCTTCATATCACAGTCTGCAAGCTGACAGCATGTTCGCAGTTTGGAGGAAGCTGAGTTTAAGTCGCGCTGTTGCTGCAGCCGACTTGTTCTCCTCTTTACCTGCAAGACAAACTTTGTTTCTGCGCAGCGACACACGGAGTCTGTGCGTAACGGCCAGCAGAAAGAGTTCAGGGAAACGCTACAATGTGCCAACGAGCGCCGAGTTCGTGGCCCGGGTGTCGGGGATCCCCACCATGGCCAAGCTGCCACACCAGGAAACCGCAGACGGACTCGACGCGGCGTTTATCGGAGTCCCGATTGACACCGGGACGTCGAACCGACCTGGAGCCAGGTGGAGTGCTTCTCTGCAGCTGCTGCTCCACAGTGTGGGCTCGTAGCAGCTGACCACAATAATCACACACTGTGTACTGATTGTATGCTGCAGCACAGAGTCACGTTGTTGTAGCACCACAACAGCTACTGTTTTCTCATTTGTACGGACAACTTGAACTGCACTCAAGTTTAGGCCTGTTCCGTTCTTTCATGTCAGTGGTCCTATCTTCACTGTAAAAAAACAAAAAAAAAAACAAACTTAGTTTATAAAAAAAGAGAAAAAGAAGAATATCTGGCAGCAAGGATGCCAGAAAGTACATGTACAATAGAATACAATAGATTACAAATATCTGTAACGCAATATGTATATATTTTTTTAAAGCAAAGCTAAACATAAATTTTAGAATTTTTAGATTTTATTTGCTATAAATCGAATTACCATTTGTAAAAATGCAGGGGCTGGAGGTTGAAACTGTCATTCCTCAATATAGATAATTTTTCTTTCTAATAATGGAAAAAATCTCTAAAATATGATTTAATTAAATTTTTTGCTATTTTAATTAAGTTTAATTTTTTTTTTTTTATGGATAACATGAATTAACACTTTTCCCCATGATTTTACTAGACATTATTTATAATTTAACAAACCAAGTAAAATCTGGAAAATAACACTTTAAAAATGACCGTTTAAAAAAAGTCTTTCTAATAATGGCACATTCCTGTCAAATAATTTAGATTCTTTTTTGTTATTGTGAATTTAAATGCAGTAAAAAAAAAAAAAAAGAAGAATGGGGGGAAAAATAATGATCAAATGTAAAAGAAAGAATTACCATGTGTTAAAACACAGATCTTTAATGTGGCTAGGCATTTTATTTTGTACCATTAACATGTGAATTAATGAATTTTCTTTTTGATTTTACTTGATACTATCTGTCAGTTAACAAAATGAGGAAAATCTGTAAAATAACAGAAAATTGTTCACAAATTTACAGTCAATCAGTTAATGGTGTTTTTTATTTATTTATTTTTATTTTTACAGTGTATATGTGCAGAAAAAAATCTAACATCAGTAAAAGCACAAAAAAGTAGAAGTCCTGCATTCTGAATTTTACTTTCACTGTGAAACAATAAATAAATAAATTCTGCTAAAAATGGTGTAACTGAGACCTAAAAGTACATTCTCAAGTAAAATATCTGTTTTGTACTCAAGCACTGGCACTTTGTTCATAATAAGAATCCAGACTGATCTACATTGATCTCAGCCTCAGACTGCAGAGCTGACATTTATTACCAGATATTCCCTCCACAGGTTTGGTCCGCGGCACATCAGAGTAGAGTCTGCCCTCCTGAGGGCTTACAACAGCGGCACCAGGGCAGCACCTTATGAGTCCCTCATGGTGGCGGATATTGGAGATGTGAACGTGAATATGTATGACCTGAAGGACACCTGCAAGCGCATCAGGGAGGCCTACAGAAAGATCGTGGCGACTGGCTGTATTCCGCTGACTATGGGTGAGCGTAACTCGAGGCAAAACAACGAGAAACATCCCCTAAAGAGTCGTGTTTACATAATTTATCCACACCGGTTCTCAAAGAGGGCAAATGAAAGGAAGCTCTGCAATATCGTTTTAATTATAAGCCTTGTAAAGAACCCTATAAACTGTAGAGAGTGCTTGATCAAAGGTCAGCTATTCAGGAAATGTTTGTGTCTGCAGGTGGCGATCACACAATTGCTTATCCAATCCTGCAAGCTGTTGCTGAGAAGTAAGTTTGACACAGATTCATTTTATCAGATGTTAAGATTACACCTGAACTAGGTCAGGCAAAGCTTCCTAGGTTTATTGATAAGTTTATTGATAAAAGATGCCTTTGTTTAGTTCAGTCTTATTCACATTTCCCTATGTTAGCTATCTTATTTTTATGTGCAGAATTAAAAATCAGTGGTTAAACATGAATAAAAGCACCAAAAATAATTTGCTATTGTAAGTATTATAAATCTTACATTCAGAATTCTAATTAGTAAAAGTCTAAACATTGCAACACCCAACTGTATTTTCATGCTGTCAAGGTAAACTTAATATTCTGCTTCATATTTTATCAACCTGTCATGTGCTTTATATGCAAATCTTAATAGAAATGATTCATGAAGTGGATGAAAAAGTACAATATTTACCCCTAAAATCTAGTCCACTAGCAGTACAAAGTATAAACGTAGTGAAGATGATTAAGCTACATAAATAAATTCGCAAGCAAAATACGGAAACATGTTTAGTTTGCTACCAAAAAAAGAGAAAAGCTGTAAATTCTAAAATTAAAAAGCATTTGTGATTGTTTGTGTCGTCTGTTGATTGACCAACAATGAACTGTGTGACTTAAAGTCCTACTCTAGCATATTAGTAAAATTCCTGCCATTGAGGTTTTAAAAGCTCCTCCAGAGTAACAGAGGACACTGTACAACTGTTTCTTGGCTAAATAGTTCACCTGACCAGCAGCTGTAATCATACTGGGTTCCTTTTTAATGCACGACTGCATTTTTAGTAGATGAATGCCTTCTGAAGTTAAACGTTATCTTCCCTGAACACTTTCATTTGCTGTCTCGTTAGCCCTCATTCAGTCAGCTCTGTAATAATTTGTCAGGTATGGTCCAGTGGGTTTGGTCCACGTGGATGCTCACGCTGACACCAGTGACGTGGTCTTGGGGGAGAAGATAGGCCACGGGACTCCATTCAGACGCTGTGTGGAGGAAGGGCTTCTGGACTGTAAGAGAGTCGTCCAGATCGGCCTGCGGGGGACCGGCTACTCTCCGGACTCATATGAATGGAGCCGAGCTCAGGTATTCTGCT